TGTTTTCTGTGTGTGTGTGTGTGTGTGTGTGTGTGTGTGCACATGTGTGTGTGTATTATAAGGAATTGGCTCATGTGATTATGAAGGATATCAAGTCTCAAGATCCGCAAGCTGGAGATACTGGAGAGCTGATGGTATAATTTTGATCTGAAGGCTGGCAGGCTTGAGACTCAGGGACAGCTGATGCTTCAGTTTGAGTCCAAAGGCAGGAAACAGTCAATGTCCCAGCTCGAAGACAATCAATCAGGTAAGCGTTTCCTTCTTATTTGGGGGAGAATTACCCTTTTGTTCTATGTAGGTCTTCAACTGATTGGATGAGGCCCGGGCACACTAGGGAATACAATCTGCTTTGCTCTGATTTAAATGTTAAACTCACCCCAAAACACCCTTACAGAAATACTTAGAATAATGTTTCACCAAATATCTAGGTACTCTGTGGCCCAGTGAGGTTTACACATAAAATTAACCATTACAGTAGTTTTAGTTTATAGCAAGTGTGAAAGAAAACCCTAGTTCCCTGGAGGGGTGCTAATCCTCTCTTCTCAGGATTTCTGTTTTTCCTCTGGCTTTTTTAGCTCAGGGTGTTTCAACTGTGTTTCCCTTTAAGCCTCCATTTCCAGTTATTTTCCCAGAGACACAAAGTTGAGCTTTACTACAGGCAAAGTTAGCTGGGACAACTGCCTAGCTGTCTGCTACTCATGCAAAAAGGATTGTCCCCCATCTTGGGAATACCAAATAGCATGGGATTGCTATTGAAGGGATTGCCATGAAGGAACATCAGGCATCCTTGTTGCTGCTCTGATTTGTCCTAAACAGGAAAGCTGTACTCAGGCAACGCTGACAATAATCTGTTTTGGGGGGTTTAGTTAGTGGAGCATTAAGGAGCATGTGGGTGAGAGGGTTTTGGCAGATTACAAAAGTGGTCACAATTTTTCATGTCTGCATTTGACTATGAAGTTGCTCTCATCCATAGGTGGAATTTATTTCCCGACTTCTTGGATGTAGGCTGCCCCTGCAGCTTGCTTTGGCAATGGAATGCAGCAGGAATGACAGTGTGCTAATTTTGAGCCCAGGCTCCAAAGGCCTTGCATGCTTCCATGTTCTTTTTGGAACCCTGTTCAGGTAACATCTGAACAAGCACAGGCTAACCTGTTGGAGGATGAGAGACTGCATGGAACAGAGACTGGCCATCATAGATGAGACTCCTCTAGACCAGACTCTTTTAGCAGCCAACCACAGGTAACATTAGTAAACACAGCCGAAACCAGAAGAGCAACCCAGATGATCACTTATCACAGCCCCATCACCAACCTGCAGAACTGTGAGCTAAATAAATGGCCATTATTTTAAGCCACTAAATTCTGAAGTGGTTCGTTATGTAGTAAAAGCTAACCAATACAGTTCTCATTTTATGCCTGGAGTGGCCTTCTGTATATGGTTTCTCTGAGCATTTTTGTGGCTCCCTGTTTTGGAGTAAAAAGTTAATAGGGCATTTCTTCTGGCAAAATCAATAGGTTTCTTCTCCCTAGTATTTTTCTGATATATATTCTGATTTAATAGCATAGCTCCTAAGCCCTCACACTTGGCATATGTGTATAGAATAGAGTTTGGTAGTAGGATCTTCGAATTTTAGCATAGAGGCACAGATGACATAAGCCAGTGAGTGGGCATTGAATATCTGTTTAAGAAGCTCTTCCACGAACCCCTAAAGAGGTTAAGAAAGTATGGGTCTTGACTTCCCTCTTATCCTTGTTCACGTAAACACAGGTTCTAACTGGCCAAGTGGTCTGAGCAGTTGATAACTACACTCATTTCCTACTTCATTCATAATCTACCGCTGAACTTCTTTGACCTCAATGGTGTCACAGATTTGAAGAATTACAGAGTTATTTAGTGGAAGTGAAAGAACAATTTCAGAGGAGATTCATAGATTTTGATGACTATGAATCATACCTTAAGAATTTGTGGCTACCTTTGAAGCACAAAACCACAGGATGTATCTGATTTATTCAGCGTCTGCGCTGTTCCTGTGGTTCAGTTTCCAAAAGACCTGACTGAGCTGAAAATGAATTGTGCCCACCAAGAAGACCATTCGTAAAAACTTTGGGTATATTAACCAGAATTATGCTGAAGTTTCTGGCCCCACTGCCAAAATCTTGCTGAAGTTTAAGCTTTTTTGACTGAGTGGAACTGTTGAGATCAAAGCTGAGTCTGTCTTAGGGATGCAGATTGTTACTGGGAAATGAGGTGTGCCCCAGCTTACAGTCTGCCTGAGATTCTTCACAAGGGCTCAGTGTAAAATGTTTTCTTATGGACTGATGGAGAGGTACATGTGATTGCCACCTGACTTTTAAGAATAGATTTTGGAATGTGTTTGGTTGACTAATTTTTTTTTTTAGATTGTTTCATATTGAGAGAAGAGAAAATGTACCCCAGAATTTCCTCTAATTATAAGCCTAGTCCAGTTAGTGTACAAATCTGGCAGATGTTTCGGTGTAACACAAATTAATGTTTTCATTTACTTTACCTGATTTATTTATAATAGTTTAAGAGTCTTAAATGTGAATTTCCAGGAACTTTGTATCAATTGGAGTGATTAACAAATTTGTTGGAGAAATCTGGTGGCTTTACCCTCCTAAAACCTGCATGTTATTGAAACATTTTTTATTATGATTGAGAAAAGATACTACCTTTCAACTGACAAATCACTTCCATCCTTCATCGAAAACATCTTCCCCTCAGAAGCCTAGTTTTAGTTTGGCAGAGGAGAGAAGCTATACTTTCCTAAGGGGTGACATTATGCTTTTAGCTCAGCCAAGCTAAGTTTATTAGACCTCCAATTAAAATAATTAGTCCAATGGCTATTCGATTAGTTTATTAGTATTTGTAGTAGTAATGATAATTACATTTCTTGAGCACTGGGTAAGACACTAAGTAAAATTAGGTACGTAGGTCATCTCCCTTAATTCTTGCAACAATCCTGTGGGGTGGATGAATTTTAAGATGAAGAAACTGAGGCACAGAGAAGTCAAATGACTTGTGCAGGTGGTACAGATAGAAACAGAATAGTTTGATTCAAAACTCACAGCCATTCTGAAGCATGAGGTCTCTTATCTAAATAGATCATCTTATTTTATCAAAACATGCATGATTAGTGGCAACTATTTTTGAGTATGCAAAGCGGATGCTTAAAACTTAATATCCATCATTTTAACTTTTGGTTAAGCAGCGTTGTATGTTGGCTCCTAGAACAAACAGAGGATGGGGAATGAGGTCAAGTTTACCATCTGTGAAAGAAAATTTTAGACTCTAGGTTCCATTCACAGCAGAATAGAATACCTTAGAGGTAGGGGAGAGAGACACACAGAGAAGGGGAGAGACGGAGAGAGGGAACGAGAGAGAGAACCATCCCTCCCACTACCAAGAAACCACTGACGATCCTACATCTCTACAGGTTTTTTTTTGTGGGTCCAGGACATGTCAGCGTCAGTGCCAGTTTGGTAATTCAGTTTCATTGCCAGAAAAACTAAGGGTCAAAACACATTTTAAGGTGCGGTCTCTTTCTGGTCTCATTCTAATTAATTTTGTGCACAACTGGTTTCTTTTGAACTCAGTCATTTGTCCCTCATGGGCACCTGCAGTTAGCCAAGTGCCTGTTAGTCAACACAGTCTGTGGACCCCATGGAATGAACAGCCGGTGAAATTTAGGCATGTTGAACCTTCTGAGAGCAAGCCTCAGTGGGCCTCCCTTGCAGAACCGACTTCCTGGCTGGAGGGAAATGCACGGCCAATGTGTTTCGCAACCAAAATGTGTCCGCAACCAAATTGTGTTTGTGACGGTTCCCTGTGCAAATATCGACTTTGGTTAGGGGGGAAACCCTGCAGTGCCTGGAGAGGTGAGCGCAATGGATTCTGAAAATGCTAATCCAGTGGAGCCGGCCCTCAGCATTGCAGCCTGCCTGGGCCTTGTTTTGCGTGCTCCTTGCAGCCGCCTGGAGAGAGCTCACTGACAAAGGAGAAGGAAGCACACAGTTCACTAAGATGACTCACTCTGCGTTCGCTGGGTGGTTCACACGCCCGCCTGCCTGCCGGAACAGGAAGGTCCTTATTGTGCTCAATTGTTTTCCTGAATGCCTTTCTCAACAACAGCAAAGGGAAACATTACTGTTTGGCTTCCAGCCATCCCGACCACTTGGTACTTACAGTGCTTAGAATGCAAAAGTTGGGCCCAGCCAAGACATGCAGAGGCGCACGGCTGCAGTTATTTCTGTCTGTGTTTCAGATTAGCCGGCTGCCTTTTGCAGTAAACAATCGCGGGTGATTTAAGACAACGGGAACTCCCTTTACTAGCAACAACCTCGACCGGAGTTTGACCATTTGTTTTATGGACCTGTTTCATGTCCAGTAACCCCTGGGGGGCCTTGACACCACCACCCACTGAGTCGCCTGAGTAAAATACAAAAGGCTCTGCCTGTCAGCTACCTCCTTGGATCTGATTGCTCCAGAGGGACTGGGAGGGTGGGGAAAGTGTGGCCTGGGGAAAAGGGAAGTAGGAAACCAGAAGGTTAATAGCAAGGGAAGCAGCATCACAGTGCCTGGGGCGCTCCAGCCTCGGCTGTAATCACTGGTGCAGTGAGGCCCAAGGACGGTGCCCTTATCCTTCTCTCGCCTCTGGACACCTTGACCCTGCCCTTTGCCTATTCCTCAGCTGCTCGGGGCCAAAGTTATGCTGTAGTTTGTGGCAGAATATGGGGCCTAAGAAGCGAGCGGCAAGAATGTTTCTCTCCTGGGCTCAGTATTGCTCAGGTTTCCTCTTACTGCACCCGCCTTGCTGTTGCTTCCTGAGCTGCTCTCAGCTTTTTCTATTCGGGGCCTCAAGCTGCAGGCCAGAGAGGGTGGGTAGGAAAGGTGAGGGTGGCAGGAAGAGGCAGAGTCCACGCTGTCCCCTCTGGCCTCTTCACTCCCTGACCCTTCCTTCCTACAGGTTCTCCTGCACCAACTCTACCCACTTTCCTAGCCCAGGACCTGCCGCTCACATGCAGCTCATCGGATGCCAAGCGACACAGCTGATGCCTCCGGGCCCATCTGTTCAGACCCAACCCGAAAGCCGAGGTCAGTTTGGGCTCACCCAGAACATCCCACCGCATGAGCTTCTTCCAAATTTTCCAGAGCTTTTTGCCTTTATCAACCTGTATCCCCAAAAGGTGGGTTGTCCGAAAGTGTTCCATGCTCAAAAGAGTTTGAGAAATTAGGTTTCAGGAAAGCAAGCAGGTTCCTTTGCCGTAGAACTCCTCAGAGACATGGCTGTGCAGTGCAGCGCTGTGGCTCTGTAAGAAGGCTCGGGTGTGAAGGGTTAACCTGCGCTTCAGTTTGGTTAAGTATTAATTTCTAGTTCCAAAGGGGGAACGCGGGATGGGTGCTTTTCCTTCAACCCAGTTGGCCTTCCTCAGAGAGTTCAGACTCATCAGACAGGAATAAAGTACAGCACACTCTGTGGCACTTCCAGCACCCCTAGACCCATTGTGGGTCAAGGGTGAGCCGAGCTCTGGAGAGAGTAGAGAGAGAAAGGGCTACAGCTTTCAGAGCCCTGGGCAGGTGACATGCATGCTGCTGGCAGCACATCTGCATTTAATGTACTTCCCTGGGAATAGGGTGGGGACAAGCCTAATGGTGACAGGTTCCAGCAGGGGGACAGCAATGGATGGACAGGCTGGTGTGCGGGTCTTGCTATATCAGGCTGCCCCTGGGAAAGGCCCAAGGCCTCGTGCTGTGGCAGGACTGCTGGTAGAGTCAGGGCTCGCAGGGAAAACAGCCAAGCTGATGCAAGCTGGGGTGCATCGGCTCGCATAGCTTACGATTCTCTCAGGCGCATCAAAAAGCAAGCATGCAAGCCCAACCCCAGCAACAGCAAAAAAACAGCTCATACTCTTAAACCTATACATCGCATTTGTACACAAATCATACTGTTGGTGTATTATAAGCAGATGGAATCATCTCGCTCATTTCTTGGGGCCAGAGCGAAGAGCCTTATTACAGGAAAGATATAGCCTTTGTCTAGAAGTCCAAACCCTGGGGGTCAGGGGTGAAGGGGGGAGGTCTGAGAACCACAATCAATATATAATCTTTCAAATGTTGGAACCATTGCCACCTTTTTATTAATTTTGTTTTTATTTTTTAAAGAAACACCTCTTTTAAAATCTCTTGGAAATAATATTTCATGGACCCCAATGAGGAAAATGCTAGTCTATATAGATTTTAACATTCTTTGTTCTCTTTTTAGAAACAAAAGAGACCCTCAGAATACTGAAGTCAGAAATGGACATTTAACCATGTGGGAACATGATCAGTAAGTGTGTGTAAGAAGCATCATCTTCCAGCTTCCCGCCCTCTGATGTTATATCCTCAGCAAGCAAAGTGAAAGGTACAGTGCTGGGGAGACAAAGGAGAGAAGGGCTGTGCCAAGTAGAAACTGAGTTCGTGGCTCGGGTAATCAGTAAGTGATGATTGACGTTCACCAAGACTGGGAACGAGGCGAGTGGAGTGGATGCATTCTTTGGAGGAGGAGGAAGATAGTGAGCTCCTTTTGGATAGGCTTTAGAGATATCCAAGTGGAAATCTCCACTGGGCAGGCAGATATATGAGTCTGGAATTCAGAGACATCTGGGCTGGAGGCATAACTTTGGGTCAATGGAGAATGGAAGGATGGGTGTGCATGAGCTCATCGGAGATGACAGTTCAGTGTGAGACAGGGTCCCCGCTGGGCTGCAAGGGGAGAGGGGATGGAGACCAGGCAGGGAGGCTGCAGAGGTGGGAGGAACGCAAGACTCAATGTCCACCTGCAGTTAGTTTTCAGTAGGTGCACAGAGCCTCCTTGACCCACAGAGTGGGACAGTGTGGATTCACATTAAACACGTAAACAAGGCCCCGTTTTTCTTTTAATACAATACCTTTCATTTGTATAGTAAAGTAGACTTTTCAAGGTGTGTTTCCAGTGATTTCATTTTTTAAAATCACATGCTCGTTGCAAACCAATGAAGAAGTCGTGGAAGGTATTGGGAGCCCTGTTTCAGTGACAAGAACGCTGAGGTTCGCCTGTGGGAGGGAAAGGGAGCTGAGAGTTCATCATTACTGGGCACTAGTGTCTTCACGGCACTTTGTTGTTACTTCACTATTGGTTCACCCGTTGTGACTTGTCATCTTGTGAACACACCTGTTCCTTTCTTACTGGATTGTAAAGTACCAGGGGTCGGGAATCATGTCTTAACCCTCCCCACCCCTCTTTCTCTACCCAGTTTTGCTTTGGAACCCCCAAAGTATTTGATAAATTGGGGGGATTGAATCAATAACGGGACAAAAGCATTCATGGGTTGAAGTCCTCATCTGCGGCTCAGCAGATCCTTTCCCACTATACAAAGATGGTAGCACCGAATAGGGGATTTTTCTAATGACCAGCACTCAGAGAAAAGCAAGAAGCGATTCGTGAAGGCTGCAGGGTAGTTTTCCTAGGGAATTTGGCATGATCAACTCAACAAATACTTTTTGGATTACTATGTATTTTTACATACAAAAATCCCTTTTTTTTTTTTTTTGAGACAGAATCTCACTGTGTTGCCTGGGCTAGAGTGCCATGGCATCATCCTAGCTCACAGCAACCTCAAACTCCTGGGCTCAAGCGATCCTCCTGCCTCAGCCTCCCAAGTAGCTGGGACTACAGGCATGCGCCACCATGCCCGGCTAATTTTTTTCGCTCTATATATTTTTAGTTGTCCAGATCATTTCTTTCTATTTTTTAGTAGAGACGGGGTCTCGCTCTTGCTCGGGTTGGTTTCGAACTCCTGAGCTCAAACAATCCGCCCGCCTCGGCCTCCCAGAGTGCTAGGATTACAGGCGTGAGCCACCACACCCGGCCAAAAATCCCTTTTTTTTGATCAATTTGTATTTTTATACAATCCCTTTTTTCAGATCACTGTGTGTTTTTACAAAATCCCTTTTTTGGATCACTATGTATTTTTACATAATCTCTTTTATCACTATGTATATTTACACAATTCCTTTTTTTTCCCTCTCCCTTATCATACACAACTGCATGGGAATTTGCTTTTGAAGTTGATTAAGGGAAATGTGGAGCAGCAGTCTTCTTTCATTTTTTTGGAGTTTTTTTAAATGTCACTTTAAATTTTTTTAGCATTATATTTTGTACGATTTTGAATTTATTTTTCCGAGTCTAGACAATCGATGGATTCCTGCTATTGGCCAATTTCTTCTCCGGGATATGAAAAATGAAGGCAAGTAATATAGTATGGGGAAGAGGACATAGGCTTTGGCCTGAGTGGACCTGGAGTGGACCCCATGTGACCTCAGGCAAGTTACTTCTCTTGTGCTCTGTTGCCTTATCTGCCAAAGAGAAGTACTATCGCCTTTACGGGGCTGGTAATCGGAATTAAGTGAGATAAAACATAAAGCTAGTAAGTATGGGCATTAAATGTTTATTTTTTTCTACTTCCTCTATTTTTAGCTCTGACACGTATTTATTATGTAACCTTGACAGGGATCTTTCAACACTTGGGCATAATAATTTGTATCTGTCATTTAGTATTTTTTACTTTTTTTCATTAGCTTGTGCTTTCCCATAATAGATTCCAAACACCTCGATGATAGAACAATATATTTTATTTTTTAGGTGTCTTTATGCCAAATCACCTATAATCATGCTCATCACCAAGTAGCAGGTGGTGAGATACTTTTTAACTAAATTTTCTTTATTTCAGCTTCATCATTTGTCATGTGGTGATAACGACAGCATTTGTTCCTGTGTAAGAAATTAATTAGAAATTTAAAAAAATCTATAAGTCTCCTCGGGTATTCATGGTGGAGACCTAAGTTGGTGCTGTTGTTACTATTGATTTATCCCACGATTTCCCTGATCAGGGGACACTCGGATCTGTGCTCATCACTCTTCTCCTTACGTGGCAGGAATCCCAGCACAATCAGCACGTTGGCAAACAGTGAGGTTTGTGCAGAAATGCACAAATGAAAGTCAATCAGAAATAAAGTGACTATACAAGTTGTCCAAATGGGGACACATTTGAAAGTGAAAGGGGGAGCTATTAATGATTATGTAGGCTCAACAGCGGTAAACCTGGGCTGTGCAGGGCAAACCAAGGTCACCTTGTTGTAGCAGATGGATGCCAAGGTTATCTCTGCCTTGTGGCAGTCACCCCAGTCTAGCCACATTGCTGTGAAGCAGTTATAATGCTAATTGAATTTTGCATGCATTTAATACGTGCATTTCTTTACCACTGTCTAAATGTCGCACTGTGTTGCGTAAATTAAGCATACTATGTTGGAGATTCCACGTGTAGCAGGAGAGACATTACTTGGTCTCTTTTAATCATGCCACTCACAATTTAATGAGGACCTCTTGTGCAGAGCTACTGATCTATTTCATCACGCTTCTCTCCTAAGCTCCCTGATGTTTCTCCAAGCCCTGGGCAGTGCAATGCCAGCTCTAAGAATTTTGTCTTAAAGATAACATAATCAGTTTTACTCCAGAAGATTTACTACAATTTACTTGTGCAGAAGCCGTGAATGAGCAAGTCACCTGTGAAGGAGCAGCATGGAGCTGCCCTCTTCAGCCAGCTGCCCTCTTCTCCCGCTCGCGTGGGCGTGGCCGGGCCAGCACCCACGGCCTGTGAGGATGCTTCTGCACCGGGCTCCAGGGCGCTGACGTCTGCCCCGTTGTCACGATCTTCCTCTAGTCCTCAGCTGTACGCTGCCGCCCACAGTGAGACTGTGCTGCCGCGGCCAGGGCGAATCTGCTAAGGGCTGCGTGGCTGAGCCGCTTCTGTATGGTTATGCTCCCTAAGCTGATCACAGGAAGGTCGTTTGGATATTCTGCTATTTTCTGTTTCCTTCGCAATTCTTTTCCAATGGCAAACATCCAAAAGGGCGAAAGGCATTAAGTATGAAATTTAATGTGCTGTCTAGCATATGCACGGTCACTGCTGTTCACCGGGCAGCTCCGAGCTTGACTTTTCAATGCAAAAAAGGATTTGTCTTTTTGTCTGTCTGTCTCTGTCTGCCTCTGCCATTTCACCTCGTACAACCACTGAATATTTTCCCAACCTAGTACCTCTTACGATGATGGAATACTGGCCTTTCCAGTAACAGACCCCAGCCTTGGGCCCCACTAAGACTGTGTTCCCACCGTGGCATGCAAATAACCATCCCTTCCTCCCTTTGGTCTTTGGGGACACTACATGCAGAGTGTCCTCTTCCTATAATAATAAATAATTAAACGGAAAAAGGTTTTCTGCCCTGCCCTCATTTATAGATGAAACAACAAATGGGTACATGTTGTGGGGTGATGAGGCTTGGTCATTGTAAGAAATTTTAAACTGGTACCGGTGTCATGAGACACATAAGAGTCGCTGTCACATGGAGTCATTTTAGGTTTTAAAGCACTTGTGCCTATGTACCTATTAATCCATTTGAGCATCATAACAATGTACTAAAATAGATAAGAAAGGTTTTTCACGTTTTATGATGAAAAGATTGTGGTTCAGTGACTTGCCCCAGGTCGCATGCTGCTTAAGTAAATGGTAGACTTGGAACTTTGGCCTCACATCTCTGACAAACAATGCTTACTAGAGTTACGTAGGTTTATTTCTTCATTCAAGTTTTTATTGGATAAACATATGTAAGTGGTTTTGCACAGATACTATTTTTGATAGGTTTAATGCCCTTGATGTTCTAATAGATTGGCTGATAAGGTAGCTGGTGTGCACACCAGTTGTGTTTAACTGCTCAGCATGCAGCCCCCTCAACTTCTGATAACAAAACACTGATTTGCCTTTGGGACCAAACTTTCCCCGTTATATGTAGATTTGGTAGGACAGTGCCCTGGGTCCTCACTGGTCTAGGGCTGAGCAGAATTTTCAAGTAGACTCTGTCCTGAGAATTTGAATTTTCAGCAAAGTGACCTGGAGGATGGAAAAATTTCCCCATTCCATGGTAGAATCCCCCAGAGACTGTCTATTAGTTTCTGCCACCCAGATCTTTGGAGCTTCTCTGGTTCTGGTTTTGATTCTTTCTGAGGTCTGTATGATCAGATTTTTCTTTGATTCTATGAATTTCCCCATACTCTTCCAATGAATGCTTTTGTGATTAGTTTGGCCAGATTAATTTTAGTTGCATACACCCAGAGGTGCCTAAATATAGAAATTATAAAAGAAAAGTAGAAATAAGATTTCTTTTGTGTGTGTGTGGCAGATTTAACTCCTGGCAGATACATTCCCTCCCTTCTCACTTTCACGGAAGGAAGATACTTCCCCACTCCATTAATGTTGGACTTGGCCATGTGACTTGCTTTGGCTTCAGAGTGGGCAGAGAGTATTTCCCCACCCCTTGATTTTGGGTTTAGAATATTATTTGCTTTGGCTAATGGGATGTTAGCAGTTGTGACTCAACAAAGGCTGGAAGTCCTCCTGCGGGATAAGTCTTGGGTCCTTGCACCTCTGCTGTGGCCGTGAAAAGAGCATAACCAGATTCGTCCACAGGTTGCAGAAGAAGATGAAAGACGCTTTGTGGAAGCCACCCAGCCAAGTTGCCCCAGTCTACATAAGTGGACCCCCCCACACCCACCCAGCCAACCCATAAATAATGTGAGCTAAATAACTGTTTATTGTTGCATACTACTGACATTTTTTTTTTTTTTGGCTGTTGATTATGTGAGAATTTTGTATCAATTTTAAACCAATACAGAAATTTGTATTAATCAGTGGTGTGCTGGCTATGAGAAAAACCTAAAATATGTGGGACTGGGTGGTGGGTATAGGTTGGTAAGATACTGAATAAACCATCATGGCAGCCTGCAAAAATGGAGACTCCTGTTATGTAATCATGAACCATTTGGTATAACTGTCCTCTCTGGTAAACTAGAAGATAGAAATGTAACCAATGAACTTATAGACTTGGGCAAGATAGTTTCTATGAGAATGTTGAAGTATTAGCTGGCTTCTTTTAGCTACATATGATGAGCTCAGAAAATAACTAGCTGGTTTGCAAATAGAATGTCCCCAGAACTTGCTGTTTTAGGAAAAAAATTAGTTTCTTAGACCATCTTTCCATTCAGTAGGAGAGTCTTAAATGAAGATATAGCCTGAGCACATAGGTCAAGTTCGGCGACTCCAGCAAGACATGGCCTTTCACTCCAACCTTTGCTCCAAGGCTTAAAGACCAAAGCAAGGGTTCGGGTGTGACAACTATTAAAGACCTGAGGAAGGAATAAAATGGAACGCCCATTCCACTAGAATACCCTTTCAGAAAGACAAAAATGGTATCTTAGAAAGCTCAAGGGTGTCTGTGGTCCCAGCAGCCTGATATTCCACTGCCGGGAATGAAGTCTAGAGAGAGAGTTGTTTCTCAAAAAGAATGGTGTGTGTGGCCTTTGGAATATGAAATAGACAGTGATAGCTAACAATATGCAAGTACAGCAGACATATTTATTCATTTAAAAATGGTTTTAAAAATTTGAAAAAGGAACTATTTTTAATAAACTCAAAATCACTAAGCAACTAAAACCTAGATATTCACCGTGTGAAAATCTGCCCTGAGAACACATACAATAAAAAAAACAGAAATTCTAATACAATGGTATGTAAATTAGAATGAAATGTTAGATGTTTCCCTTCTAAGCCAAGAATGAGTCGAGATTATTACAACTGTTAGTGGACTATAAACACATGAGGTTTGCAATAATAAAAGGCAAGTATCAGTGATGCAGACAGACAGTCACATGGCATATGATAAATATCAGGAAACAAAATTAGAGTAGGAAATCCAGAATTAGAGACAGATGAAATAACAACACTTCTAGTGAGGTCTTTGAAACTAAAGACACAATGTTGAAACACAAGGAAAGCCAAAAGTTAAAATTGGCTGAAATGGGGTCTATTATGCATTGGTTTTACTTTGGTTCAGTTCTTAACTTTCTATTCCCAAACCACCAAAATTTACAGGGTTAAAAATAGGATTACTGTTCTAATACTATAAACAAAATAACTTTAAGAATAAAAAAAGTTGGTTTGGCTGTCTTTATCTTTTGCCAGTGAAAATTAAGACTAGTTTTCCAAATTTTACATGTTCTGTAAATGTAATTAAGCCTCTCATACTTTTCTATGTCTATAGGTTGATTATAAAAATGAAAACCAATAAATATAAATTACGATGTTATAGTAAGTCTTTGATGAACTAAGTATTGTGATTGTTAATTAGTTCCCTAGATTAAAGAGCCAGTTTACTTTTGGGAGTCATACAAAAATAGTACTTACCTTTAACATTTAAAGGCATGTTTATTTGCTCATATTCTAATGTGAGGCCACAGGCTTTTTCTTTGGGCACATCTAATAATCGTTATGAGAGATTTGGAATATTTGAGTCCCACCATCTCTCTGAAGCAGGCTGTGCTTAGAACAAAATATTTTGGGTGGCTATAATGCCAGATTCCATGAATAAATAATATTGTCCAATAATTGACATATGAAATGGCATGAAAGGAAAGTTTGTCTCAAAAATTTCTTTGGTGTATAATTATTACATTTCTTGAGTAAGTGCTGTGTTAATAACGTTGGTTGAATAAATATGCATGTGTGAACAAAGCTATTGCTTTTTTGCTACAAAAAGCCTCATTTCCTGGTATTAAGCAATGGCAAGCAATAATGAAAATGACTAATAATACTAAAGCAATAAAAATCCATATTATCTGCAAAATAACTGTACAGTTTATATGTATGTGGCAACTTCCTCTGCACGTAAAATTTCTTTATTGTCCTTCCACAGCATTCCTCTGCAGGAGTTTCAGTCCTCACCCCCACCCCCATTCTCATCTTAAAGGTGAAGAAACTGCTTTAATAAATGGTGAATTGAGTTTTTGCTCTATGTCACCCAAATAGGTTTGGAGATAGAGTCCAGGTTTGGCAACTTTGATGTTCTGAGCTGTTTTCAAGTAGTGTCATCTAAATATGGCTCATTTTTCATCTCTGGGGTCAAAGTAATGATATTTGATGGGAACTTTTTTTTTAGTACTTTTAGAACTTTTTTTTTTTAAGTACTACTATCAGGACAGAGAATAAATTCATGGATCCTCCTGGAGTCTTGTTATTTGTAGATGATAATTTGGTGCAAGCAGTAGAGTCCCAAGTACTTTTTTATATACAAAAACACCTGTGTTCCCAATACTTAGAAATATACTTTGTTAGCATTTTCTCATATTCGCCTCTGGTCTTTTGTTTTTTATAAAAGAAATAACATGGCCTCAATTCTTTTTAATAAAATTTTACACATATAAACTAAGAACAAAGAACTATTTTGACAGTGTAGAGTTCTAAGAGAGAGAGGTCCAGATTAAACAAGCAGTAAGCGCCACTACATCCATTGCCAAAGGAACAACAGTGCTCAAGTGATGTTTTCCAGGCAACCCCATGGCATAAATCTTTAATCCCGCTGCCTTTTATGTGACATTTATATATAAAAACTGTTTATAGAGCAATGTAACCTTTTCTCTTGTCCACTTGGGTTTATCGGGGCCGTCAGTGCTTTGGTTCTTACGCTGTAACTGCTCACACTATGTCAGCAAATATGATCGACGCACTTTGCCATGGTTCTTTGTTTGGATTCTCACCAGAACCAAATAAGGGGCTGATGTACCAGTTACAAAACAAGGTCAATGGCAAGAAGACGGCGAGCCTTACACAGCCGTGCATGCAGACTCCAATGCCTACGCAACCGTTGGTGAACTGTTTTGCAGCAGGCCAGAGCAGGATTTGCTCTTCACAGCATCCGTAAATTTTGATAATTCATCTTCACAGAAAATCAAGGGAAGAACAAATTCAATTTAATTTAAATAACAGAAAACTGGCCCAGGAATAGATAAATTGGTTGCTCTATTAGGAACCTGCCCAGGTTAGGGAACAGAATGCTTTCTAGAATCATAGATCTAGAAAAAGGTCACTGAGAATGATTTGCTCATTTATTCAGTACAATAGAAAACCCATTTATAGGACTATTCAGCCACCAGTGTGAGGCTCTTGATTGTAAATGACCAAAACCCAACTAAAACTAAATTTTGTGAAAAAGGAGAATTGACTGACACAGGAAACTAGGGAGCCAAAGAGGTGCACTTGACCTTGAGCATCTGTGGCTTCAGTCCTCTTGGATACACTTTCTTCTGCCTGGCTTTCTTCTCATCTTCTCCCTAGA